GCTGGGGTTAAGCAGACTTGGTGAGCATATTCATGGATAGTGAGAACAGTATGACAGAAATAGTACATCCTGTAATGATCCCAATCTCAACCTTGTGCCAGCTTGATGTCGTTGCTCCTGAAGAGACCCTCATCCTGAAATTGCTGTAGTAATCATTGATGAGGTCTGTAATTCTGCTGGGGATATGGTACCTGGTTAGTGTATGCTGCACCAGCTTATGAAGAATGGAACCATACGCATTTGCCCAGGTCTAGCCATAAGACCGATAAGTTGCCCTTATTCTCTCTGGCCTCCCTAATGAGCTGCGTCACTACGCCAGTGTGCTCCAAGCAGCCTGGAATACCTACAACTCCACCCTTCTGTACTGCCGTATCCTTATAGGTGTTCTCTGCCAAATAGGTGCATAACCGGTTGGAGACAGCACTGAAGAAGATCTTCGCTTCTACGCTCAGCAGGGAGATTATGCGGAACTGATCTATATGAGTTGAGTTTTCCTCCTTTGGGATCCATACCCCTTCAGCCACTCGCCACTGCTCTGGGATTCTTCCCCTTCTCCAGAAAACTCGCAGAATCTTCGACAGACGAAACAGGAGTTTGGGGAATTAAACTATGCTAACTTTCATCTTCATCATTGCTTCTCTCTGTGATTATTATAGATTGTGATAACCTTCCTGTAGCCACACAAAAACCTAACAACTTTTATGGAACAGTCTGACAGACTTTGGACAACAAATATTTAAACGTCCTTTCCTTGAACAAATAGTTACCATTTGTAATACCAGTTAATACAAGAGAATTACCATTCTCTTAGTCCTAAAGGCCACAACTTGTGTAATTGTTTGAACTGTCCAATAGACTTTGAACTGCAAAAACTACATTTTGAAGAAATATTTATTTTAGACAGTCACTATAAAATGGAGCATGGCAACTGTTTGTAATGAACCATTAAACAATACTGTACTTTTTTTTAAATTGTGTAAACATTATTTGCTCAGTTCTTCTTTCCATATTGTTCTGCTATAAATTTTATTGGATTAAAGTCTCTTTATTGATATTGCATGAAGAGCGTAATGATCAGTGACTCCAGAAAACAGTAAAAGAGCATTTTAATGGAATAATGTGACACAGTATGCTAACTATTTTGGTCAAATGCTTTTATGGTTACATCTGGCACATTGACAAACGTGTTAAATATGTAACATTGCAAAAAAATCTACCACAATGCTAAAAAAAAAAAAGTTTTTAGTGTACACTATAAGGTTTTTAATGTGAAAAATAAAATCATACACCAATATCATATAGACCTATTTTGATTTCCAAAGGTTTTCGAGAAAGACCTTGTATAACTTAGCCATATACTTGCCTCATACTGTAGATGCCGTAAATGTAGGTGAACTGAAGTTAGTTAGTATGTTATATATCAAATTCACGTAAAATGCATTACTTATCAAATTCATTTACACAGTCTTACAGACAGAAAAAAACAATAATGTGGACATTTTGTATAATTACACTCGTGATATACAAAGATGCTAATGAGTAAACCTTGTGTATTTTCTGTTCACATGGGGAAAAGCAGATGTCCACTAAAGGTGCTGTGATGGTGTTCATTGTCAAAAATCCAATATCCAGGGTAGAGATTTACATAGATTTGATCTCCCTTTTCCAGCAACAAAGAAACTCCATTTGAAGAGCCGATAAAACCACCGTTTTGCCGTGCATATGTTGAAATTTCATGCTGGCCGTTTCTAAATAGGCCTGCGACAACTGCTTTATCTTGACTTCCGTTGGCCTTTGAGAAAACCCTGAATGCATACACTCCCTTCGTGGGTGCTGTAAAAATTCCTGTATCAGACGAAAAAAAAAAACTTAAATCATTCAAGATTTAAAATATTCACAGTAGGCTATATGAAGTGATTTATTTTACCTGTGTTTGCATCATAGGCATCTCCAGTATTGAGTTAAATCAAATGAAAAATTGTGTGTTTGATTGGTCCAGACGCTACACTTAAAATGTATTATCAAATTAATGTACACATTTACAAAACAATAATGTATGATTACATTCTATAGATCTATCTATCTATCTATCGTTCTATCGTTCTTTTGTTCATTTGTTCGTTCATTCATTCTGAACTTTATATTTCTTAGGCTAGTGTTTTTGCTGTGGTATAAACGATTTTATTTTTTTGTGGCAGGGCCAATGAAAATATTGGCAGGGCAAGTAATAATTTGAACCACTGACCCGACCGGGCCAGTACAAAAAATCCTTAGCATTGAGCCCTGCTCTTGATATTAAAAAATGCTGGTGAGTAAACCTAGTGTATTTTCTGTTCACATGGGGAAAAGCAGATGTTCACTAAAGGTGCTGTGATGGTGTTCATTGTCCAAAATCCAATTTTATCTCCTTTTCCTATAGCATAAGAGAAACTCCATTTGAAGAGCCGATAAAAAACCCTGACTACATACACTCCCTTCATGGGTGCTGTAAAATTCCTGCATCAGATTAAATTTTTTTTTTAAATTACATAAATCATTCAAGACTTAGAATATTCACAGTATGTGAAGTGATTTGCCGTATCTGTGTTTGCATCATGGGCATCTCCAGTATTGAGAAAGATGTGTTTGTAAATCAGGGTGTGTAAACTACTGTGTGGTCAATAGGGGTTATGCCAAAGACTTAAACTACTTCAGTCTGTGTGCATTGAATTTATTTAATACACGAGTTTCACAATTTGAGTTGAATTGAAATAAATGAACTTTTCCACGACATTCTAATTTATTGAGATGCACCTGTATACCCTGTTAGAGGACGACAGCGAAACTGAGAAAACTTTTGAAACTAAGACAAAATATGTAAATTAGATTACAACATCATAAATGATTGTGACGAGTGGGGCGGGGCCGAGAGCCGTGGGAACGGAACAAGGCCGGTGGAGTAAATGATAGGCCTAATGCACGACACCTGCGCCACTCACCGGTCTCGAGTCCCACGGAGGAGCTATGGAAGGATAAAAGGAGGAGTGACGACAGTTTAAGAGAGAGAGGACCAGGCCTGGATTTATGTTGCTTTGGTTTTGTTTGTGCGTGGCAGTCGTCCATGAGGGGCTGTCGCGCTATTTTAAGTTTTGTGTTTATTTTAGTCCGTGAGGGGCTGTCACGCTATTTTAAGTTTTGTGTTTATTTTATTATTAATAAATTATTAATTAAATAATAAAATAATTTATCCTTCCGGAGCTCCTCCGTGGGACTCGAGACCGGTGAATGGCGCAGGTGTCGTGCATCGCTCCGTTCCCACGGCTCTCGGCCCCGCCCCACTCGTCACATAGATTTAACTAGGTTTCTTTTAAAGGATTACCTTCAATAAAAAAGTAAATAACTGAAATTCTTTATAAACAGAATCCGTGTATCATTCGATCATTCATTTTTTGATTTAATATTGAAAGAAAAATGAGAAAACGGCTCCTTTTTCGTTTTTTTTTTTTTTTCCATAAAACAA